AATAATTATTGGCACAATGCCAAGTTGTCTGACTCTACAAATACTGCTCAAGTTAGAGAGATTTATTGAGTTAGCATTTGCCCAGGTCAAGTCCAAATGTATATAAGAAATTTTTGAGTTTGTTTTAAGTTTTTTTTGTTTGTTTGTTTCAGAGATTAGTTTAATAGATTTTGTTTTTATTGGGGAATGGAGAAGAAGAAATAAATATTCATTAACAGTCAAGTGATAAAGCTGGTATTGCACTTTTTGCTCTGACTTACTGCCTAGGTCCGGTCCTGTATCTACTGCTTGTTCATCTTTAGGATGAACATGAAGAACAAAAAAACCCACACAACGGGTATACACAGTGTAGAAAGGCACTCCACTGACACTTCTTTTTAAGTAAGCTATCTGGACTCAGTCTGGTCACAGCAGTAACAAGCTAAGCAAAGGCAAGAGGGGTAACACAACCAATCTGCTTCCAGTACTTACAATCTGCTTTAAAGCTATTTCAAGTTTCTTGACAATAAACCATAGTCTACAGCTATGCATACATACACAAATAAGGAAACTTGGTCTTTTCAGAAAACAACAATATTTCAAGGTATTGAGAGTAAACACTCTCAAACCTGAAAAGACTTCAGCTATGCTAAACTTTGACCCAGAAAACCAAAATGAATTTAAGTGACATATTTATAAGATATACTAAGTGTTCTGTTGAAGGTCTTCTCCAAGGCTGTTTTAAGAAGTATACATAGCTGGTTTTAAACCAAAACATTTGAAAAAAGCATATTTTCATATTAATTCATAGTATGAATTAATCTTCAGGCTTTAATCCACTTCTTCTATGACACCTTCTTTCCAGATTATGTGGGAAAGGTACTTCTTCTACCCAGCCAACCGTCACACAGAATACTAAACCAGGAAGCCCTACTAATTCCAAAATGGAATGACAAACTGTTTCTATTTTCAACAATCATCACAAAAAGAGCCTTGCATCACAGTTTAAGCACCAAGTCATCTGGAGCTTCAAGTCTCTATACTGTAGGAGAATTCATTCCCCTTTAACATGGAACCAGGAGTATACTAGGAAAAACTAAAACTGAAGAGCAGTATGACTTAAAGTGCTGGCGTTAAAAAAATACAAGAACATTTCTGGGACCTTAATAGTCATCACTGAGACATCTTCATCACCAGATTTCCCTGTCGTATTTAACTGTAATTCTCTCTTTTTTCTACAGGTCATTTGTGAGGAGTCTGGAAAGAACCTCTCTAATATCCCAGATAACCTTTTCCAAAATGTTACTAAACTAAGCCTCAAAAATAATAAAATTACTTTAAAAGACAGTGACAAAGAGATTCTTCAACGTTTTATTAACCTGACTGAACTTTATCTGAATGAAAACATGATTACTCTACTGTATAATAACAGCTTCTGCAATCTGACAAAACTTGTAATTCTGGATATCAGCAACAATCGTATTAGCACAGTTCATAAAGCAGCATTTGCAGGATTAAATCAACTGTCAGAGCTGAACTTATCCTATAATAAGATTACTCAAATAGATTCAGATGTGTTTACTTCTCTAAAAAGTCTGACAGTTTTAAATCTACAGTATAATGTTCTGAAATCTTTTAATATAAAATCACCTTTAAAGTTGATTAGAATTGTTTTGGCTGGAAACCCATGGACCTGCTCCTGTGAGCTCCGTGATTTACAGATAGGGCTAACTGCCTCCAACGTGACAATGGGTAAGTTTTGGTAAGGGCAGTGTTTCATACTTGCTTACATTGAATAGCTTTACCTTGTTTTTCCTGATCTGAATTATGTCCACCATCAGCTTAGCTCCTTTTTGTGGTAATACATTGGTTATCCATGACATTTTTAAAAAAAAAATTAGGGTGCCACTTACTTAACAACATCTCACAGCCTTTCTACTGCTCATATTCACAGAAAATGAAGACAATACTACATGTACATTCCCAAACACCAGGGGAAAATTACCCATCAAGATAGCTGCTATCCAACCAGCTGACTGCGAAACTGAAAACACTTCTTTAGAAAACTCTGTAACTTCCACTTCAGCCATTAGGCTTAAAAGTAGTGCTTTACTAACAGCTCTGACTCCAAACAACATCACTGGAAGCAATGAAACACATGCAGGTAACACACTATGCTTACAAGGCATTTGATTTGCTGTTCCATGATGTCACACTGTTTTGTATTCCTTGTATACCATAATTCCATAAAGCCAGGGCTACAGAACAAATGTACTTCCAGGTTTTGGTAGACTGCACACATATTATGCTGAGTGTTAAGCTCTACTGAGTAACTTTTCAAAACAGTTCTAAATTCTCAAATGATGCTACAAACCGATGATGAAATTTCAAAGGCTTGAAACTCAGGTAATTGTCCAGATCTCTGCCTAACAGAATAAAGGACGCATCTTTAGAAAAGTTAAATTACTTCTTCCAATCTAACTGCTTTCTAGACATAGTTATCTTCTTAAAATCTGGAAGAGTGAGCCTATTAATTTTATGCCTGCCCTCAACTCTGTTCAGTGCAAAAGACACAGATGTGCCTATCCTGTATTCTCTGAAACGGCAGTAATAGCCTCCTTACTTTTCTTCACCTTTTTATGTTAATTCCATCATCACTCTGTAATACTCTAGCTTTGGGGATTTTTTTTTTTTCTTACATGCAAATTAATGTTGTCCATTCTTCCATGCAAGAAGTAAATGCTTTACTTCTTGCTTCCAGCTAAAGCAGAAGAAATATCAATCTCTACATGCACATACAGATTGTGAGCCACCACCGTAACACACTTCTGCTGCAGCAGCTATAATCTGTTATAGAACAGTGGACAGCACACAAAAACAGCTTCTAAATGAAGACTATTGGCAACTACAGTCTACTGAAATTTTTATTATAAAAGAAATACAATTGAAAGGATATGTCGAACAAAAGGTATAATAATTTAGGATGCAGATATCATCTCCTTACAAAAATTTATGCCTGGGAAATAGAATTTTAAATTAGTTGTGGATTCCAGCCCCCACACCAAGACTAATCTTGGAATTTAAATTTTTGAAAAAAAAACAACAACAAAACTTATCTTTTATATGTCTGTATAGAACATTATCCAATTTTCAAACAATTATTTTTGATAAATATACATGGTGGAATTATACTGCTAGGAAATATGAGATGTACATTAAGTTTTGGTCTGAGTGATGTTATTAACTCTCTAACAAGACAGAAGTAACATTTTACTAAAGCTCTGAAGACACTTAGTAATTGCCTCACCATTGTTTATTTTGTGAGTTCTCCAGTTTACTATGAAAAAAATTCATCATAGAGTTCTTGCTGGTGTTCCTCATGAAGTTGAGTCTTTGTTTTTTTCCTGTCTGTTTTAAAGAGTTACCACTTCCTGGCAAAAGCTGGACCTTCCTAGTGGGTGTCCTAGGGTTTGTCCTAAGCACTACACTCCTGATATTTACTGCTATAAAATGCCCAACATGGTATCAGTACTTGATCAGCTACAGTCACCGTCGTCTGGAAGAAAACGACCCAGAGATGTTTGAACAGGAGTTCTCCGCTGATATGAGTTCTTCTCCTACAGTATCAAATCTAACCGATGAAGATCCCATAGTAATATTTGAGAAAATTCATGCACTTGTGCCTGGGGAAGATGGATTTATTGAGGATAAATACATAGATTCTTATGTAACTGAGGAGAATTAATGTCTTAAACAACCGACAATGAACTGACTTTTCAAAACTGTAGCACACTTGTACTTCCATATTACAATCCTTATGTACAATACAAAATGAAGCCAAGCAGTCTGTCTCCTTTCATCTCAACAAAGTAATGCAGATAGATCATGAAGCTAAAAATGTGGTGATGTGCATGCACTAGGGTTGCAACAAATATCTCAAAAACACGAAAAAAATGCTCATAAAACACCTTTTATAAAAACCTATTCGGTCACTTATGGGGGGAAAGGGGAGAACTAACTTTATATGGCTTAAGAGGAAAAAGTCTTTACAAAGCAGCGTGTGAAGCTGGAATAATCACTAATGCTTTAATTGTGACAAAGTCCAGAAAGGAAGAATGATTTCTCTAAAATGTTGAAGTAGGCCACAACCAGGCTGGGGACTAAATCCAAATAAGTGATGACACAGCCTACTAGTGTATCAGGCAAAACCAACACAATCTAAGAACAGAGTGTGTGGGTTTCTTTTACCTACACAGCAGAGCAAGAAGGACCAACTGCTCCATTCCCTTAAATGTATCTACATACACTACAACAACAAATTATCATTACTGCATATCTAATGCCTTTATGCCTTAGTTTGCTACTAAAACAAGTTTTTTCTCCTCAGGTCTTCTTAACATATTCACCGGTAGAACAGATAGATTTATGAGGTCTTGAAAACCACAGTATTATTGAAAAGTGACTTATTATTAAATGGGAAGCTATTTTTTCAAGTTCTTATTTATACACAAAAACTTGTTGTTGAGATTGCTCTTACCAGCAACAAGCAAGACCATAACCCTTTCTCTCACATGCCTCCTGTCCCAAAATTAACACATCTGAGAAACTGACCCTCTCAGGCTATCACTACACAAGTCACTGTGACTGCTTACAAATTCTTCCTCTCCACACACCCTTATCTTAGCAGGCAGGATCTCATTTCTAGCCTCCTACTTCTGCTTGCTTTCCCCAGTCTGGTACTCCACAAAACAACCTCCACAACTCAGGATCTTGAGTCTCCACTGCCACCTAACTCCTCCTGAATGACGTGGTAAGGATGTCCACAGCAGTCACTCAGAAGATTTTAATGCTAGGAACTCCATTTGCAGCCTGGCACTCTGTATTGTCTTGACATTGCTCAGCTATCACTTGTGGCATTTATCAAACTGTTAAGGAACTTCCGAATCAGACAACACCTCAATTTTGGCAAGTTCAGTTGTGATTTTAAGAGCTGTGGAGAAGCAAACGGTTCATGTACTTACGCTTGTCGTTCTGTGAAAATTTTATCCACGCTCTGAGTGTCCCGGTCATTCTGAACCTTTAACTTAAAAAAAGGAAATAAAAATTACTCTATAATAACAAAGATAAGGATTTTATATAAAAAAATCAAAGTTCCCTTTAAATGAGCAAGAAGCTGCTCAGAATGCAGTAGAGGGTGGAGCAGCAGAGTTTGCCTGCTCCAGATATTTGTCACAGTTGATACTGAAGAAACACCTTCTGAAACTGCAGTCTTCCACTGGAAACCAAAAGGAAGTAAGAAGGGTTCTCTGTGTTTGAAAAACAAGTAAAGTCAAGTTTGTAAAAAATCAGTTAACTTACTATCACTGTGGAATCTATTCCTGGAACACTTTGTAAAATACTGATTAAGCCTACAGACAGAATGAAAATGCAACACTTGCAAAGCATTCTCCTCTTCATGACACAGACATTGTGACTTTATTTTTCAATCAAATGCAGGGGAAAAAAAAATAATTGTTTTCACTATGAAATACTGAGATGGTTTTTCAAGCTACCAAAATAACACCTTTTAAAATTAGTTTCTTTTGCTTATGGACAGTGTTCATAAGAAATGGAACATGCTTGATGCCACTCACACCTTAGTACTTAGGGGCACACTCTATCTGTGTTAGAAAATAAAGCAAGCAAGCAAGCAAAGAAGAATAAAGCTCATTGATTTTGTGGTTGGCCATGCCAGACGACCTATGTAATATCTATTGCACTAGAGTCACTTAAAAGGCAGAATAAGAGAACTAAATTAAGAGAATACCAAGCAACTTTACAAGGCAGTGCATGCAGTTTAGTGAATTTGCCTTTCATAGGGCTAGCATTCTATGCTACCAAGTCAACTACAGAAGACATCTTAATACCCATAATTTGGGTTGGGACGACAGCCTTCTCAAATCTAAAATCCAGAAAACTATCATAGGGTTGTCAGTGCAACACTTCAGACCACTGTCTCACTACGAACATGTTGCAAATATTATGGTTAATTTAACTGGGAAAAAAAATGGGGATGCCTCATGGGTATGCTTTGAATCAGTGCTGTGCTTTTCAGATGTGTCATATGTTCAAAGCACCAAGAATGTTAACATACATCATTTCACTGTTCAAACACAGCAAATATCCTAATTCTTACCATATTGTAATCTCGAATCATTTCTGCTACATCCGTATTGGTGTTAAGCATGTCCACTACCTGGAATGAAACAGAAATCCAGCCTGTTACTGCTCTCCTTGTGTTTTTTATTTACACACAAAAAAAAATCAGACAAATAGATAGCAACTCACAAAGTGATCATGAAAACACAGTAATTTTCTGTTATTGTAAATGGAAAAAAACCCCATGATTTGGGAATCTGAATAGACTTACGTTCAGTTTTCAGAAGTAATTGTGGATGCTGAAAGTCTGATCTGAGGTTATTTTCCACTGTGAGCTGCAGTCAGCAAGCTGCAGCTATTGCTTGTGGGAAAATGTACTTTCTCACACACTGAGAGCTTGAGCTTTGAGAACAGAATGGTAAACACCTGATAAACACTCTGCATCTTGACCTTGGTGAATGTTTGGGTTTAGGGACCAAGAAATGTACCATAGCAACTTAGTAACCAATAAACCTATAACACAAATGTCAATAATCCAGTGAATCTATAAAAGACCCTTACTGTAATAAAGTTTGTGCTATTCTTTCACCTTCTGACATTGGAGTCTATGTGTTGCCCGGACTGCCTCTACAGCAACAGGTGATCATCATTATATGGTGCTGTACAAAATCCACAAATACTATACAGCAGTAATTTCTTAAACCTGTATGCAACTACTTCTCCTAATGTAAAGGAAGCACACTTCATTTTTTTTCATTTATGTCTTCCTTCATTTCTACCTTTTTCCTTTCCAATAACTGAAAAAGATGAAATATTAACTAGTATATTTTTACAGACATACCAATAAAAAAGATTCTGAAGTAAAGAAAGAAAAAGCAGTACAAAGCAAACAAGAGAAAGCAGAGCATTCAGTATCAGAGCTGACAGCAGCATACCATGTTGTAGTCTGCTAGATGACCTTGAAATTCCTTGATTTCACCAGCTAAAGCCTCTGCCCTAAACGCAAAACAAAAAGTCACACTTAAGAGGGGAAGACTCATATATGTAAAAAGAATGAAAAAAAATAGTTATTTGATAGCTGTTTGAAGCCCGCACAAGACACAAGAACAGTCTTGTGACTGAGAAAGTTAGCACTGCATTAGATAAAATACACCTCACCTTTTTTCATATGACAAATAGATTGATTTCTCTTGCTTGTACATTTCTACTTCTTCCTGGAGCTTGTTAATCTCTGTTGTGAGTTCATTTGTTTTGCTTCTACAAAACCAACCAAAGAAACAATCAAACCCACGTACATTTGAATGTGTAACTAAACCACAAAAAGAACAGAAATTATGTTTTATTACAGGAGACGTGCAATCAGCATCTCTTTCTCACACTGAACCACACGTCAACCTCACCTGGAGTACTGCATCCATTTCTGGAGCCCCCAGCACAAGCAGGATGTGGACATACTCAAGCAAGTCCAGAGGAGGGCCACCAAAGTGATCAAGGGATTGGAGCACCTCTCATGTGAAGACAGGCTGAGGGAGCTGGGGCTGCTCAGCCTGTAGAAGGCTCCAGGGGCACCTTATAGCAACCTTCCAGTACCTGAAGGGGCCCTACATGAAGGCAGTGGAGGGTCTATTCAGAAGGGGTTGTAATGTCAGGGAACGGAGTAACGGTTTTAAACTAGGAAAGGACAGATTTAGACTGGATATTAGAAAAAAGGTCTTTAACATAAGGGTGACAGATCACTGGAATGGGCTGCCCAGAAAGGTAGTGGAGGCTGCATCCCTGGAATCATTCAAGGTCAGGCTTGATGGGGCTCTGAGCGACCTGACCTAGGCAGAGATGTCCCTGTTTGTGTAGGGAGGTTGGACCAGATGACCTCTCGAGGTCCCTTCCAGCCTAAAACATTCTATGAATCTATGATTCTATTCAAGTAAGTATTTCAAAGAGCTGCATAAGTGAGGAAAAAAGCAGAGTGGTTCTGTTAGATAAAACTGTAAGTGGTAGTCAGAAAACCTGGATATGAAATAAAATGTTTTAAGTAACTTTTTGTCCCTGCTGGCAACACAGATGTGAATTATTCTCAAATGGACAAGAAAAAAAAAATCATAGCATCATTTCACAGAATGTGGATATCATCCATATTTAAAACATCATATTTAGGACTTGTTATTCAATGCTGTAGGATGATCAACAGACAAAGAAGCATATGCAATACAGCTTCAACAGGGCCTTGCCTTTGTCAGTGTTAGCTCAATATAGAACCCAAATAAACCACCTGAAACGTACACTAAGACCCACTTAATTTGTGATGCTGTTTCTTACAAATGGAGCTATCAGACTTATCAGGCATTACAGGGGGAAGCTCAAATTCACTGACTCTCCTTTTATAAATGCTGGGGGATTGCTTTGCAAGCCTAATAAGAAAATGCCAAAGAAATCTACTTGTCCTGGACATAAGCGTAGAATACCTTTCCTTGTGCAAACTAAATGCAAAATGGCCTTAACTCTTGTAACAGGACAGATCATAAGTGAACACCACTCATCCCAGACGACCATTACGCACAACAAACTTCGTGTCAGTGGGGAACAGAGCATCAAACCTGCAGTTTGAATGTGTTGTTAAGCCATACCTCAGCAGTCCAAGGTAATATGTTTTATCCATTATCTGTCTCTGAGGACCTGACAAAGGAGAGCACTTTGTTAGAGAACAACTAAATCTGATGAACTGTAAATTACGCAAACAATCTGCAGAACTTACAGACAGAGAACTACCACCTTCTCAGTGTTCTTAAACAGTCTTTACATCATTAAAACGAAGACAGAAAATCATTGCAGACTGTTGTGCAGACAAACATTATTTTTTCAGCTTGTCCACGTTTGGCCCATACCCAGGGCTAAACTATAGCCATTGCTCTATCACCAAATGACCCCTCCTCAGAGAAGAACGGGGATCAGGAAGGGAAGACTCATGGACTGAGATGAAAACAGATTTAATGAAACAGCAAAACTAATACCAATGCCAGTATAAAGTAAACAAAGTTTCAGTTACAATAAACATGAAGGCAGCCATCTGGAGCAGAAAAAGGAGCAGGGGGAGACCTGAGGAGGAACCCTCCATCCTCAGCAAACTTTCCCCTTCATAATGAGCATGTTTATGGACTATGAGTACTCAGGCTGACTCCAAGCTGCTAATGGCCTGCAGACCCTTGCAGGCCTAGGATTCTGTCCCAGAAGAACCAGGACACAGCTATGTGAAGTTGCTATGTAGTGCTATATTTTCATTATTCTGCAGTGATGGAATAATAGAATCATTAAGGTTGGAAAAGACCTAGAAGATCATCAAGTCCAACCATCACCCAACACTACCGTGACCATTAAACCACACCCCTAAGTGCCACATCTACACATTTTTGAAC